ATGAAGGTAAGTAGCTTAGAGCTACTTGAAGTGGTTGAATGCAGGCTTAGCCAAACACAAACCCCAGCACAATGAAGAAAAGGTATCTCAGATCCATTTCAGCTTCAGCCAAGCTGCTCTCCACAATTGCCTTGAAAGCAAAAGTTCTCAGCCTTCCATGAAAGCATAGGGCTCAGCTACCTCTGCTTAGAAGTAGCCAGCAAATCAGCCTGAAGTTAACATTTTTTTCCAAGGAAAGCAAGATTTAAAGAAACCACTTAGTTTTAATAACTTTGTTGCATCATCCCTAAGTTAACACATTTTAGAGTTCAAACCATCTAGATTCTGTTTAAATAATTTGAGATGTAATTAAAGCACAAAGCTCTGAACCTCATAACGTAACACCACCGCAAAGGCAACTTCTGTTCTCTGATTGAGGTATGTCACGTCACGATGAGCAACTTTCTCTTCTGCATAAAATGAAAGAAAAGCACACAATTTAATGGAGCATCCAATCAAAAAGAGCACTGGGCTAATGCCCATATGAAGGGAGAGCAATACATTCCGCACATTTGAGTGAGAATACATAAAAAGAATGTCTTAAGTTTAGGTTTGTGGAGAGGAAAGAAGGAATTTCAGATACATTCGTATTTTCAGACTACATTCCAACTATCAGTGGTGCCAAGGAGAGAAAAACATCTTGTGGCAATAGGCCTTTACGCTGACTAGCAACAATCTTACTGGTGAAATCTGCTCACTGATAGTATGCCATCAGGAACGTCTATTCACAAGAGAGGAAAAGAAAGGCTGCAGAGACAGCTTTGTGCATGTAGCTGAGCTAGTGAGGTGAAAGGACAGCATGGTAACCTGCCAGTCATCAAGTGCAAAAGCAGCAAATGACTGAGAGCTGAGGGAGTCCTCCAGGAAAATGGCACTGCCCACTGGCTGCAGCCTCCAGCTCCTCCCTGAGTGTTCAGCTGTGAGCACAATCACAGGGTGACACTGGGTGCTCTAATCCACTGCAGCCATCCTGCATCGTACCATAAGAAGCTGGTAAGCACGACCTCTTTCAGTGTACGAAGGCCAAGAACAGCAACCTGGGGGAACTATCCAATTGTGTAACAGTAAAGGAAAATAAAGAAACTGTGAGGAAGACAAAAACAAAGAGCACTTTCAGTGGTACGTGATATTTAAGTGGGATCTTTTCGGGTGAAACAGATGAAATAGGTCTCAGAAATAAGCTGGAAAATTGCAATGTATGGATTCAAGGAAGAACTTCTAGGAAGCTGCTAAAAGGGTGGCCTTCTCCAACACCCCAGCATACAAGGTACATAGAAAGAAGGCTGGATCATGTGTCCTCTTGGCCTTTCCTTAAGTATAATCTCTTGATCACTGTTAGAAAAAGGATTGGAGCAATATGGGATATTGGCCTGACCAGTCAGGTTTATAATCCTACAATCAAAACCTTTTCACTAGAGATCAGCTTCCCCTTATCTGGTTTGCAGTCTCTTTATATGAGCCGTATGAAATCAAAGCTTTCTGTACACAGCCTCTGGGCTGATGGTGAGCCTTGTAGCATATCCTACCACATGAATAGCAAAGAATTCACTTCCATCTGTCACAGCTGACACTAAAGTTCTTTCTGTAGGCTAAGCTGCCCCATTTCTCTGGAGAAAAGGAGACTTGTGCCCACAAACACTAATTCTGCTTTCCATAGTGCCTATATGGCTGGAGTCAGCCCATAATCTGCAGTCTGCTTCTTTCATATTGTTCACCAAATTAAAGATGACATGTCTTGACACCAAAAGGAAAGGCTTTCCAAGCACATCTCATTCGATTACATCTTCAGTCCATCACACTGTCAACATCTCTGTACACAAAACTACAAAAAGGACCCTTTCCCATGTAAACAGTTCCTGAGTAATGAAGACTTCATTTAAAACAGTGTGGAAGCAAGAAAAAACAAAAGGAATTGTGGTCTGATGAAAAAGCTACTCTGGTATCACACCCCTCCCCCCGTCAAGCTTCCTAATGCCTCAATGGATGTCCAACAGATTCCCCAATTTGTCTTTCACCTTAGGGAGGGAGGTCTCATAGTTGGCCTTTCTAATTGCTTTGGGAGACAAAAATCTTAACATTTATCCCAACTGAACAGTGGGAACGGTATCTCAAAATGATATTTCAGGGGATTTCTGCATGTCTTCCTGGGTGTTTTTTGTTGTTGGTGGGGTGTTTTGTTTTGTTTGGCTTTTTTTGGTTTTTGTTTTTTTTTTTGTGAAGAAGGAAGGGAGGGAAGCACTACTTGTACCCATTCTTTGTCTTCAAAAAAAGCAGAACTTAAACATTGACATCTGCTTCCACAGTCACACCAGCAAATCTCAGGTATGCCTTTCAATGTCCAAAGAAGGAGATCTTAACAAAGCCAAAAAAGTAGCTGAAAATGAAGGAACAGTTTACAAAGCCCCTAGGGACTCTGTAGAGATATAATGCTCTACAAGACCCTATTTTCTGTCTTCTGCTCTGTTCATTGTTTTCAAAGTGAGCCAATGTTATTGGAAGGTCATCAGGGAGCTCTGGCAAATGAATGTAATCCAGGGCTTTCCCAGGAATGGGAGAAATTCCTGCAGAGTTCATCTGGAAACGGTATGCTAAATAAGATCAACACAGAAAACTGACAGGTCACAACTGAAGAAGTGAACACAGAGCAAGATTTGCCAGAGAGCGCTGAGCTAACAGGCTGTAAAGTGATGTGGCAATCTCTCTGTAACAGAAGGCAAGGAACAGCACAAAGGTATCACAGCACTTAGAGAGGAAAGAGAGAATCAGCTCTCTCAGGATCTGTCTGATAACTCTTGCTCAGGAAAACATCAAGTACCAACAGCTTCTATCAGAGGAGGCTTCATTTTTCTTGTTATGGTGTAGAGCTACTCTTGGGTTCATTGCTTCAGCACCTAACATTGGGGTTGGGATGAAGAGGAAAGGGAAGGAAATCAATACGTGGGCAAGGGTGGGGACCACTTCATTAGCATGAACTGTAAGAGGTGTCAAAATAGAATCATAGAATCATTAAGGTTGGAAAAGATTTCTAAGATCATCCAGTCCAACTGTCAACCCATCCCCCCCATGCCCACTAACCATGTCCCTCAGTGCCACATCTCCACTGTTCTTGAACACCTCCACGGTCAGTGACTCCACCACATTCCTAGGCAGCCTGTTCCAAAAACTCACCACTCTTGCTGAGAATTTTTTTTTTCCTAATATCCAACCTGAACACCTCACAGTGTAACTTGAGGCCATTCCATCTCATCCTATCACTGGTACATGAGAGGAGAGGTCAACCCCCACCTCTCCACAACGTCCCTTTGGCAGTTTTGGAGAGCATAAGGTCTCTCCTGTACCTCCTCTTCTCTGGACTGAACAATCTCAGTTCCCTCAGATGCTCTTCATAAGACTTGTGCTCCAGACCCCTCATCAGCTTCATTGCCCTTCTTTAGATTTTCTACACCAGAGGCACTCCTTTTTGCAAGGCCAAGAACACTGATGGGGATCTGACCTGACTCTTGCTAACTATTTCAAGATAGAAAAGAAAAAAAAAAGAAGAATTAAGCAGGTATCCTCGAGACCAATTCTTACAAAAACTGATCTACAAAGAAACAGTAATTCCAGTGTTTTCCTTCACCAGAGACGAAGCCCTCTCTCGAAAGAATATTATAATAAAGCCTGTAAAAGCACAAAGAACGTAGAAGTTGCAGAAATGGACACCATATACCCAATGAAAATCTCAAAAGTTTCTGATCTCAAGTGCAACAGCATGAAAATGTTTGTTACAAGTTGGATGATCACATGCACACGAAGAAAACAATTCATGTGTAACAGGGGTTGGAACTCAATCTTTAAGATCCCTTCCAACCTAACTCATTTTACAATTCTACGAATTCCCAATCTGCACTCACTGTACTGAGAAACAGTCTCAAGAGAAGTTAGAGTGAAATGTGGTCATACTACTGAGTCAGTACTCAGTACTTTAGCCATGGCACCTGTGAGGGCACAGTACCTGTTAGCTGTAGTGCTGAGGCATGCGCAACAAGGAGTTAAACTCACTCACATGATGCTGAGAAACCCCTGTTGTGATTCACGGAGAAGTTTGTGGCTAAAGGTAGCATTTCCATTGGCAGTACGAGAAGCATAAAGGAATTGATAAGCTATGATAAAACTAGGAAAGCCTTCCTTCCGCCAGTCAAATGACCTCCTCTTTGCAAGCCAACAGAAATTCGGGAACGCAGAAGAAATCGTGGCACAGGGTAGGTTGTGGCTGCTGGGGAACAGCACTGGGCTGCCCCCGCCAACACCCGAGAGCAGCAGCAGTCCCACCGGGAGCCACGGCTCACAGAGCCCTGCTGGGTGCCCGATGAGCTCAAGGTCACGGTGCTGCCACGCAGCTGCCGGCGGGTCAGAGCCGGGCGGCGAGGCGGCTCTCAGCGTGCAGGGGATGGGGAAGGGCCGCCTGGCAGGCGGGCACCGGCACCAACTTGGGAACCGCAAGCAATAAGGGCACAGAGACTCCGTGCTGAAAGGCTGCAGAACGCCGGAGCACTGGAACCTCTCTGAGAAACTCTCAGCGCCCACCCGAGCACCAAAGAGTTCAAACACAATGAGAACTCTCCCCGACGAAACACCCCGGCGCAACGGGGCTGCTCGTGCGGCGTTCCGCCAGCCGCGAGGCGGGCACCGCGCGGGCCGCCCATCGCCGAGGCGCAGCACCGCGGTTTCGAGCCGCGCTTCCCGCAGCCGGCTCAGGGCCCGGCCCCCCGCACGACGCCCGTGGCCCCGCCGGGCGCCGCAGCCACCACAGCCACCACCCTCCCTTCCGCCCGCCCTGCCCCTCCCCGGCGGCCCCTCCCGCGCCTCGCCCTAAGCGCAGGCACCTGCTCGCCCGAGACGAGCTCGGCCGCCGGACTCCGGGCTCCGGACCCGCGGAGCCTCTTCCGCCGCCACCCCGCGCCCCCGGCCCGGCCCCTCACCTGGGGCCGCCCCGCCTCCCCCGCTGAGGAGATGGCCGCGTCCGCCTCTGCACTGCAGCTGTCGGCACGCTGCTCCCCCCCTCCCCCGCCCCTCTCGGCAGATGGTTCGCCCCACCCCATCCCGCCTTCTCATTGGCTGCGCTCCGCCGTCATTCCTCGTCGGGCCCGCCCACCGCCCGGGGCACGCCGGGAAGCCGAGTTCTCCGCTCGGGCCCGCTTCCCATCGGCAGGCGGCACCGGGCGGAGGGACGGACTACAGTTCCCACAACGCCCCGCGCGCAGCCCCGGAGCGGCCCGGCCCGGTGCGACCCGTACCCCGCATCTCCCTCAGCGCCGGAGGGGCGCCCCCTCCCCGCACGACGGCCGCGGAGGCCTCCGAGGCCCGGTCCGGCGCGGCTCGGCTCGGCTCACCTGGCCCCGCCGCCTCTTTCTGCGGCCGGCGCGGGCGGCGCATGCCTCGCGTCCTCAGTGCGGCTCGCCGGGCTCGGTGCCGCCGGCGCCGGGCGCTGCGGCTGCGGGGCGGGGGCGGGCCGGCCCAGGGCGCATCCTCCCCCTCGGAGCCGCGGCGGGCGGCGGGATTCGCCCACAATGCACCGCGCGCCGCACCGCCAGCATCAGCCCTGACATCACCCGCGGCCGCCCCCGCCCCGCCTGGCCCGCCCCGCGCCCGCCCCGCGCCGCCGGCAGCAGCGGGCCGGCACCCGGCATCCTGCGGGCCCTGCACCGGAGCAGCCCCGAGCCGAGCCCTCGTGTCCCCAGCTGTGTCCCCGCACCGCGGCCCATTTCCTCTTGTCCGATTGCCGCAGGCCCTACCAAAAAGTCTGCCGCCTTCCTTCTTACAGCCCCGCTTCACATGCTGAGAGGCCGTTCTCAGTCTCCCCAGAGCCCTCTCTTCTCCAGGCTGAGCAGTCCCAGCTCTCTCGGCCCGTCCTCATAGGGGAATTGTTCCACACCTTGGCTCATTTTTGTGGCCCTCCTCTGGATGTGCTCCAACATGTCCACATCACTCCTGCACTGAGGGTTCCACATCTGGATGCAGTAGTCCAGGTGAGGTCTCACCGCACAGAGCAGAGGGGCAGGATCACCTCCCTCGTCCTGCTGGCCACACTTCTGATGTGGCTCAGGACACAACTGGCTTTCTAGGCTGCGAGGGCACGGTACTGACTCATATTCAGCTGCCATCCACCAGTACTCCCAGATCATTTTTTGGCAGGCCTGTGTTTATTCATTTCATCCAACCATTACTGCATAGCGCTACTGGCTGTGTCCCTCATTATCACTACAGACCCTCCATACCTGCCAAGGGCTGCTAAAACCTTGTGGCTGGAGCAGGAGGTCATCTGAGGGCACTTGGCTGCTGTAGGGAACAAATTCCTATGCAATGGTGCCATGAGCATTTGGGAGCTGCCATTGAGAAGTGGCGTTTGCAGATCATAGTAAATGGAATTCCCCAGAGCTAGTAACACCTACGTCAGTGCTTATGGAGGATGCAGAGGGAGCTGTTGGTCTCTTCTCCCAGGTATCGAGTGACAAGATTCAAGAAAATGGTCTCACACAGTGCCAGGGGAGGTTTTAATTAGACACGAAGAATTTCTTCATAGAGAAGGTGGTCAGGCATTGGGACGGGCTGCCCACGGCAGTGGTGCAGTCCTCATCTGTAGAGGTGTTTAAGAGACGTGAGGATGTGGACATTGTTCAGGACATTGTTAGGTGATGGAGCTCAGTAAGCTAGACTGATGGTTGGACTTGGTGGTCCTGAAGGTCTTTTCCAATCTGGATAATGATTCTATGAAAGAAGCACTGCAGCATCTCAGAGACTTACCTTCCTCCTACACAACTCGCTTGGAGGGAAGAAAGGAGACTGGGACTGTTCTTGTCCCACCAAGCAGCCCACTGGATTGTGAGGTTAGGTGTTCTGCTGGCTGGATTATGTCTGAGTTGTGTTGATGGAAATCACAGCTTTCTTGGAGGAAAAAGAGCCTGAATTTGTGGGTGGAGGATGGTCTACTGAAGCATGAGAAAAATAAAACTTTGTGTTGGAAGAAGAAAGTCAGTCTTACATGGAAAATAAGCAGAGAATGGCAGCATTCCCAGAAGATTTCAAGGTCTGTAAATTAAACAGCTACGTTTACAGACCAAATAATTTAATTTCACGCTCTTTCTTTTGGAAAGCACTCCCCTCCACCTCTGTTTGCTTGTTTTGTGGAAAGCATTCATCTGAAAACCTGATTTATTTATCTATTTATTTACTTTCTTTTGCAGATAAGTAGTTTTTGAAGGAGAACTTTGGTGCAATCCTTCAGTCAACCAACTGAAGGGGGAACGACTGCCCATACTACCATCCGACACAAGGTGGCACACGCGCTACGAGTTCTAACTGTTACCCAAAAAGAAGCAGTGGCATACAAAAGCTGAGGAAATATGTAACTGTTTAAACAGTGTGGTAATACTGACTTTACAAGGAAGTTAAGAGTGTATCAATTCTTACACATCGCTTATAAAACGCAGTTGGAAATGTCAGAAGTGACAGGAATCCAAATCCTAATAAAATTTATATTGTTTACCTAGATAACACCTGATGATATTCTTTGGATAGGAAAAGTCTTGGGAAAACACTGGCTGTCCGTGCCACTGCCAGAACAATCTCAAGCTTAGCATAAAGAATAGATTGAAGTTGCTGCTCCTGAGCATGAAATGTGCTTCGCCCACCCAAATCCTGGGAATTAGTTGAGCTGCCATTTAGGAAAAGCTCAGTAGTTTGGCTCATCTTAAGGAAGAAGACAAATATTCTTAATACGAGCTTTGCAGCGTTGTGTTGAGAGGCTGGACCAGACTACATAACCTGCAAAGTTCGTGCCATGCACAGAGCAGGTCTGTGTTACCTGCTATGAGATCTCATTGGAAAGGGTCGGGATTTAATGTGATTCACCATCCAAGCCGGCGCTGGGACGGATTAGAGCGAAGAAGCGCTTTGATGCCAAAGCTGGGAGCTACACGGTGCGGAGGAGCTGCGATGTGGAGGGAGGCGATCCTCCCCTCAGCTCAGCGCTGGCAGCCCGCACCTGGAGCACCGGGCCCGGCTCTGTGCTCCCACTACACGGACACGCAGAGAGAGCCCAGCGCAGGGTGACGGAGGGGCCGCGGGGACTCCTCCCGGAGGACCTTCACAGCGCCTGGACGTGGGCCCTCGCGCCCAATTCCGGGCGTAGGGGCCGCCGCAGCGAGCCCAGAGGCGCCGTCCCGCCCCGCCGCCCCGCTGTACGCCCGTACGGCCGGCCGCTGCCGCGCGGTGCTCCCGGCCCGTCCCCTCCCGGAGGCGGGGGTGTTCCGGGGCCGGGGCGGCGCCGCGCCCGGCGGGGCCGGGAGCAGCGGGGCGGGGAGCGGCGCGGCCCCGACGGCGGAGCAGGGCCGTGCCCCATGGCGCTGGCGGCGGTCCGCGCGCGGGTGCTGCGCTCCTTGAGCCGCTCCCCGCTCGCCGCCCGGCGCTGCGGCGGCTCCGCTCATCTCCCCCCCGGCGTCTACGGCGCTTGGCAGGAACGGGCGGCCCGCGACCCCGCCGCTTTTTGGGCGGATGCGGCGCGGGGGGCTCTGCGCTGGGACAGCCCCTTCCACACGGCCCGCGAGGCCGCCCCGGCCGGCGCTGGAGCCCGCTGGTTCCTGGGCGGCCGCCTCAACGTGTCGGGTAAGGATCCCGCGGCCGCGCATCCCTGCCCCGGCGCCGCTGGGGCCGCCCTGGCGGCGGCGGCCGTCGGCCGTTCTCCGCCCGGTCTGTCCAAGTGCCCTCCGTGACGTTGGGCGCTCGAGCCTTTTTTGAGGGAGAAAACGAGGCGTCGGGGTCAGCGGCAGTGTTGATGGAGGGTGGAGTCCGGTGCTGCGTGGAGCGAGTCTTGGCGGCGTTGTGAAACAGTCGGAAATGAGAAAACTGCGTTCCCAGTCGGACGCGGTAACCCAGCGCTGGGCTGAGGGGCTGCAGCGCACCGCCGTTTCGTCAGGAACCCCTCCTGAGAGACCCCACTGCAGCTCATGCTGTGGTGTGAAGGGAACAGAAGGGGACGGTACGGGTCGTGCTGCTGTCACGCTCAAAGAACGCTCCTGAAGTACAAGGGACCAAAGCCAGCACCTAGAAACGGTTAAATTTCTTCAAGACCTGCTTCTTTTCAACCGTTTCAATGGAAGGTTGAATGTGAAGGGAGCTGGAGGCTGGTCTCTTTTTTTTCCTCGCACCTAGCTTGATGGTGGGGTCTTTCCATAGGGATGTGTATTTGTATATATTTTTTTTTAACTTCGTTCCCTAGGAGAGTGCTTGAGTGAGTAGACTGTAGTTCAGTGGTGCAGAAAATTTAACACCGTCAGCCAGCCACCTTGCTTTAGAACAAAAGAGCAAACACTGGGCAGGAGGAGTCCACAGGGAGGGTTCTCAGCCATGGATCCCAAAGGAGTGGAGGGGTTGGCACAGCCCTGCTCCCAGCACCCAGTGGTGGAAGGGAAGTGAGTTTTTAGCCAGATATCTTTTCAGTGATTCCTTTTGCAAGGAAGGTCCTGGCTGAGCACTGAGACTTTTGGGGATTCGCTGTTTCCTCTATAGGATGCGGTCAGCAGCTTATTCTGGATCACATGTGAGTTGAGTCTGGTGATCGTACAGGTACAGAACTGGTTGGGCTGGAAAGGACCTTAAAGCCCAACCAGTCCCAACCCCTGCTATGAGCAGGGCTGCCCCCACCAGCTCAGGCTGCCCAGGGCCCCATCCAGTCTGGCCGGGAGCACCTCCAGGGATGGAGCACCATAGCTTCTCTCGGCAGCTGTGCCAGGGCCTCACCACCCTCTGAATGAAAAATTTCCCCCTAATTAAATCTCTCTTCTTTTAGTTTAAAGCCACCCTCCCTTGCTCCATCACTACCCATGTAAAAACTCTGTTCCCCTCCTGTTTATAAACTCCCCTCAAGTACTAGAAGGCCTCAATGTGGTCTCCCCAGAGCCTTCTCCAGGCTGACCAAGCCCAGCTTCCTCAGCCTGCCTTTACAGGAGAGGTGTTCCAGCTCTCTGAGCATCTTTGTGTTGCTCCTCTGGACCTTTTCCAGAAGGTTCACATCTTTCTTGTGCTGGGAGCCCCAGGCCTGAATGCAGTACTTCAAATAGGGGCCTCATGATCTCTTGATTTGAGCTGAGAAAATATGGCAGCACTGCAGGTCCCTGATTCAGAGCATCCTGCATTCCTGTCTCCAGGCATAGCTGGATTGCAGGTGGATACGTGTTCTGCTTTCTACTTGGCGGAGCTTGCAGTGAGAACTGGAAAAGTGTGAGATTCAGCCCTTCTGAGCTGAACTCCTGGCCTCCTGGCCAGGAAAAGACCCCAATAAGCTTTCGGACTCCCAAGCCTTTGTGTTCTCAGGAGCACATCTCATCAAAATGAGATGCTTCTGTGTTCTTTTCCACGCATTGTCAAGGGGGTGAGGAAATGTCTGGAGAAACCGTTAGAGGGTAGCAGCAGGAGGCAGGTCACAAAATTCTGTTTTCCAAAACAAGTGAAAGCACTTGTATGGTCAGGAAGGAAATAATAGCATTTGGCCCTGTTTCACCTGCCAGCTCTCGCTGAGCAAAGAGTTACAGCTCTCACTGGGCTCAGCTGGGGCTTGCTATAACACAAACACTCACTGAAAGCTCATAGTGCTGCTCACAGGTAGGAAATGCTGCTTGGGAAACGAATCCCTGTGAATGCATTTGACTGTAATGTGGTGCAGTACCTATGGGTATTGCTGCCATGGGAATGGAGGTGGGATTTACTAAAGGTCTCAGAACAACCTGCAGCAGAGCTGATTTCCTATGAATGCGTGACAGAGGAAAGCAGTGTATAAGTGCTGAAGGCATTCCTGACGAGAGCTTTTGTCCTCCTGTGTTGTGAGCTGACATAAGGAATGATTTTATCTCCTTTGTTTCTTTGATATTGCTGCAGGAATTTATATTGAAAAGCAAAAGACTTCAAACAACGGAAGGGCTTTTTTTTTCATATTTTTGAGATAAGCAGTTGTTCTTGTAGTGAAATGTGCTGAATTCTGACAGCAGTGTATCTTCTGTTCACCTTCGGGGTCTCATTTTTGCAGGGCTGTAGATCAGTTCTGCTCTCAGAACAGCAGAAGCAGACTCCTGGGCTGCAGTTTGCCTATACTTTACAAATGTTGATAGAACAATAGGCAGCTTTCATTGCACGTAGTTCATCTGGAAAAATAAAATCCTTTCCCACCAGTATTAATATCTCCAGGAAATATGCTCTGAAACTCAGCATTTTCTTCAGGGCTTTCTCCGAGTTGCACAGCAGTGCGCCTGAGTGGTTTTTAATAATTGTCTCTTGAAATATCCTAACTGCCTTCATGAGAATATAATGAAGTACATAATTGTCACTTAAGCTTGGAATTAGTACTTTACAAGCCTAATCTGTAAACAGTGGGCATGTTGGTGCTGAACACACGGGCGAGTTTCCTGAGTGGGTTCTGTAGAAGTTTCCTTACGGTGGGTGCTGTCTGTCAGCTCACTCAAACATCTCTCATGAGGTTCAGAAGCCACTCTGCACTTCATATGGTAGCTGGTATAGCACACAGTTGGAGGTTTCCTAGAGGGATGGTGGTTGTCTCCTCCCAGAGACTTTCAAGGCAAGGCTGGCTCAGGCCCTGGGCAACCTGGTCTTCCCTGTTCACTGTAGGGGAATTGGACTAGATGACCCTTATAGCTTCTTTCCAACTCTTAAGGATTCTATGATTCTTAGATGTGTAGATGTCTGTACTCCACGAGTTTACACCAGTTCCTAAAGTTTTAGATACTTTCAGTTAATGGAAAATCAGCTCTTTCAATTATAAATGTTTTGCCTGAATAGTTTATAGAAAATTCAAACAATGCAATGCTACAAAAGGAAGCTGGGGAAGACAAGTCTGTGACGTTGATGCAGTGAATTGCTGCTCTGAGGAGGAAAACCATGAGAAGAGTTTCTTGTCTTTGTGCGTTGTTTAAACCTCTGCTTTCTTACAGTAAATTGCTTGGACCAGCATGTTGAAAAGTCTCCAGACAGAGTGGCTTTGATATGGGAGAGAGATGAACCTGGAACTGCAGTGCATGTCACATACAGGTACGGCACCTTCTCATGATGCTTTACAGTGCCTGGCAGTGTGATGGGATTGGGAGAAGAGTTGATTCTCTGAAACTGGACTTCTGTGAAACTCTGCATTCTTCCAGTATACTCCAGCATGCGGAACATGCAGCCAGGGCACTGCTGCCAGCTTGGTGTATCATGATGGGTTAGCTTATGAAAAAATGAGGCACGTTCCCAGCTAGAAATGATACTCTTCCTTGGTTTCTTCTTGGGAAGTGCTCCCTGTTCTTAGAGTCCTACATACTGAATAAACTTCTGGGAGGCTGAGGGGTACAGCAGATGCACATTAGTAAAGTTACTGAAAAATTCAGATTCAGATCTGACATCATCTTCTGTTTGTTCTGTTAATCAGATGTAGATTCCCTCTCTCTGAGTGGGAGCTTGTAGAACAGAAAGACTTGTTCTTTTCCTTGGCTTTTGTCTCATCTTCATGTTTTCTTTTCCATGGGAAAAGTTCTGTGAGCAGCTTTCAGTTTCAGAGCAGCAGCAAGTGTGGTGGTGTGAAGAATGTCTTGTGTTGCTGGAGGGGATTTTAAGTTTTCTGTATTCCTCTTCCACATCCCCACGGCAGTTTAGAGTAATCTTGAGACTGCTATGAGTGGTATCGACTTGTAATTGCTGCTATAGTTTGTAAAGTTTGCTGGAAAATGTCAGAGTTGAAGCATATTTCTCTTCTTCCTGCTGTGTGACCTGAATTGGAGGAAATACCTGCCAGCAAAAATGCCTTTTACATCATCTGTCTCTACAGTCAGATGTTTCCCAGACTTGTATGTTGCTCAGTGCCTATTTCAGGCACCTAGATGTTTGATCTGTGGATCAGAAAGCAGAAGCAACATACAAAGTCCTAGCATCTGATTCCTCTACAAGATACTCTGCAGCATGTCAGTAGTTGGGATTTGTGGAACTTTTCAACTATAAATAGCTCCCCTTGTTTGTTTTCCCTTCAGAATTTATCAAAGCTCCTGAAAACATAATGCATTAGAGTGAAGAAGTTGGTCAGCAGAGAGAAACAGGTGTGCAAATAACTTTGAGAGATTAGTGCACCATACAACGTGTTATAACTAACTGGGTAGCTTTCCTAAACATTTGAGTTTTGTTTATGGCATTCTGGTTGTATGAAGTGAGATGGAATCTGGCGTTTCTCCTAGAGTGTGGGGTGGTATATGTACTTCTACAGCTGTCTTCATGTCTCATGTGTGCAAATGGGAGTATACTGGGTGGGAATTGGGTGTGTTGTGTTGTGATTAACTTAGAAGAGTGGCCCATCAGATAGTAGAGCCTCATTCAAGGCAATTCCAGCCTTCCCTCTAAGGCTGTGCTGCTTGAAATGTGTTGAGCTGCTCTAGATCTTCAAATGGTCTTTTCAGGATCCCCAGATGAATGAAAAACATTTTCTGAACAGCAACAGAACCATTTTTCTCTTGGCCCATGGCATTCAAAAAATGAATTTGAAGGAAAGCATATTTTCAGCCTGTGAATTTGTGACTGCGGTGGCTTGAAGACAAGTATCCCACTTTTTGCAGTAACATCTTGGTTTCAGTAGAAGTTTTTTGAGGGAAAGCATGTCAGAAAATGAGTTGCCACTGTGGTGTCAATTCAGTAACCCCAAGTGAGCCTTCTGCGGCAAAGTGAGCTCTGCACATTAGCCCCAGCATGAAAAGGAAACTAAAGGAGTGCTAGATATCAGTAGTTCCCAATTGCTCATATCTGTAGCAGAGAAATTATAGCCCTTTTGTTAGGATTTGGATGCACTATTAACGGGAGAACAGCCCTGAAGTCATGCATGGGGAAGGTAAAGACTTTAATTTTGGCCTGTCTTATACACCGGCTTTGGGGAAGGTCTCAGAATCTCAGGTGGGAGGTGCCCAGGAGTAAGTGTTGAAAAATGCAAGGCTCTAGTTTGTTGCTACCTGCTTTGCAAAGCTCTCTGTTATGAGCTTCTCCTCCTTATAGATACACCTTGGGAGGCCTAAGGAGAAGTGCAGCTCCTTGCATGGATGCTCATCCTTTTCTGTGGATGCTGCAGGAGTAAGAAAACAACTGAGTGTTGGCCCTGTTCCCAGCACAGGCAGTAAAGAAAGTAAGCTGCTGTGCAGGAAAAGGTCATGAACAGGCTTCCTCTTCTGCAATTAAGGGAAAGGCCTACACGAGCCAGGCCTTCTACATGCATTGGTGAGAAATGCAGCTAGGCTGCAGGGTGCTGTCCCAGCTCACTTATTATAAGGAGGGATAAAGGCCTCCATTTGCCTGTACATCCCCACGAACTGCCTTACACTCAGTGAGCAAAGAGCTCAAAGACCTGGGGCTGTGCTGTGAGTCACCATACATCTTTATGCATGGTTGTTGGCAAAGTGGGTTGTGTTTATGCAACTGAGTTGAAAGGCTCTTTGCTACAATTGGAATTCAAACATATCCTTATTGGCAAAGATACACAAAGCCTTGGGTAAAACATTGTAGTTTTATTGAAATGGTGATTGCTATTCCTACAAGCTCAGTTGCGATTAATCCATATCTTCTGTTTAAAGCCTCTGCTATAAAACGGAATTACTCCTTTGGAGTGCCCTTCTGACTCCTTGTCGTTTGCCAAATATATACCAGAGTGGCCCCAGAGGGCAAGGCTACCTGCTGGAGGGTTTCTGGCTCCCAGAGCAGTCTCAGCACCTCTCTCCTGCAGCAAGGAGGCTCAGCTAGCAGATTTCACCAACCACCACCAGTGCTTGATACATCCCAGATCCCAGATGCTGAAGATGTGATTAAGTGGCACGAGAGCAGCAAGCTGCTTAGGTCACTGGCTCACACCATTATTGTAAATCATCTTTTTCCACTGGTGAGCTTTGCCCTGTCACTCCGGCTGTTGCAACTCAACTGTTTTTTCCTCTGTGGGTTTCATTTTCTACCCACTTGGAATCCATATAAGTTTCAGGTTCTGAATGGGAAGGTGGGAGATGATTTTTACAGCTTTGTGCCAACAGGGCATGTGTCTCTCCTGAGAGTGGTGGCTGCAGTCAGCAAACTGAAGACAAATCATGCCCTTTTTTATCAAGTGGTCTGGCTAACTAACCATAAATGCATTGCTAGGACACTGGCAAAGTAGCACTTAACCCACAGCATTGTGCTGCTGTGAGCAGAGAGCTGAACCGATTGGTGAAGGGTCCAACCTAGCTGGGAGTGTTTTGTCCTGCTCTGGGGATGTTGTCAGCACCCAGTAGCTTTGAAACCTTGCAGAGGAGTTCCTGAAGGCACTTCTGAGCCTGGGTTTTAAAGTGCACTATATTATCAAGTGAGTTATACAAGCAGGCAGAGTTCACTGCTGGAGCTGCTAAGTCATAGCCCCTGTAAGCTCAACAGCAGGCAATGTTAAAAGACAGTAGCTGAAGCTATGCCAGGCATAACTTTATCAAGCTGTTCAAGGCAGTGCAGTGAGTTATGGAGGAACTGTAGTAGTGTGCAGAGAGAGATTTGCAGAGTTGGAGTGGGGGCACAGTGGTCTGAGCAAGATTTAACATTATGAGAATGGGTATTCCCAAAGGCAGCTGTGGAAACAAGTGAGCAGCACTATGCATTAGCCAGCCTGTTCTCACAAAGAGTTGCAGGCTGGGTCTCAACAGAAAGGTTCTTATTTACAAAAGGAGTTCACTCTGGTGCCAAAAATGTTGCAGGCAGAGGAAATGTTTGAGAAAGAATCACAGAATGGTTTGTGTTGGAAGGGACCATTAAGACCACCTCATGCTATAGGCAGGGACACCTCCCTCTAGACCAGGTTGCTCACAGCCCCATCCAGCCTGGCCTTGAACGCCTGCAGGGAGGGGCATCCACAGCCTCTGGGCAACAGCCTCTGTGCCAGGGTCTTACCACCCTCACAGTAAAGGATTTCTTCCTAGTATCTAGTCTAAATCTTCCTTCTTCCAGTTTAAAATAATTTCCCTTCATGTTCTCACTACCTGCCCTTATGAAAAGCCCCTCCCAAGCTTTCCTGTAGGCCCCTTCAGGTATGGGAAGGCTGCAGTAAGGTCTTCTCAGAGCCTTCTCTTCTCCAGACGGAAGAGCCCCAGCTCTCTCAGCCTGTCCTCATAGAGGAGGTGCTCCAGCCCTTTGATCATCTTCCTATCCCTCCTCTGGACCCACTCCAAAAACTCCATGTTCTTCTTGTGTTGGGACCCCAGAACTGGACACAATACTCCAGGTGGGGTCTCACAAGAGCAGAGCAGAGGCACAGAATCACCTCCCTTGACCTACTGGTCACACTTCCTTTGATGCATCCCAGGATACAGTTGGCACTGTGGGCTGCTAGTGCACCTTGCCAACTCATGTACAAATACAGAATGTAAAGTAGGGAGAAGAAAGCCAAAGCTGAGGTGCCAGAAATTAGGGTCTCAGGTAGCTTTTCAACATGCGAGAGGGAGGAATGATTGAATGTCTTTATTAGCTACATCCCTGCTATGCCTTTAATAGGCGCCAATATGGGGGTTCCTGAATTAGAGATGAAGTGGTTGAAACTGTATTAGAGATTACAGTGAGGATGGAGGTTGGAAGGCATGTGGGTATTACCAGGCAATGTAGTGCGGGAGGTGTTTCTCACTGGTAGCAAACTTTCCTTTCTTCCCAGTATTTCTTCGGCTTTCCAAGTTGAGCTTTCAGGTGAATCTTTTGGTGAAAAAATAAATATGTGTTTTCACTGTTTACCAAAAAGTGAGGAATATGGAGCATTAAACTGAGGTGCTGTTCACAGAAGTTGAGTGAGCAGTTAGTACACTTGTGTATTATCCTTTTGGCCAGAACACTGACCCAGGAGAAAGAGATGGGATTTTCTTACAGGGGAATTGAACCTACATCTCAAATGGCAGCATCTTTGGCACATGGATCATGAGGTATAGAGGCAGCTTTGAAGTCAGCTGTTCCACAGTAATTCATAGAGAGCAATAAAAAAGAGGTGAGATTAGGCTGTTGGGATGAGAGATATCCAGTTCTCCTTTTAA